TGATTTACAAATTAGCAGTCCAAGAGAATATTGAGGGGTGACAAATGGAAAAACCCTGGTGAGAAGAGAGAGAGAGAGAGGGGGGGGGGGGGGGGGAGGGATGGAAGTTACAAGGAAGAAAGGTTGAGGAGAAGTGGAGGTAAATAAAGGTTGATAATCTTCAAGCCGTGGAAAGTAACCGTATTTACCCTTGGCAAACTCAAGTCAAGTATGAGCCCATTGCGAAATGGACTCTTGAGTTAAGCCAATATAGAGAGTATCTTCGTGTATGTAGCAAAATAAATTATACTTACACATATAGCAAGCAAGTGCTAATTCAAAGTGTAGCGAAGGAAAAAAAACGTACATTTGATCATTTCTGGAAGAATTTACAGCAAGCCATTAATTTTTAACAAGGTAATTAACGTCTAACAAAGCGATAATAAACGGGATTGTCGTGGAAATGATTAACTGTTCTTCTAATGCGTATTGCTAGTTCGCATAGTGTGAGATCTTCTGGGCGTGGTAAGTTTTGAAAAGAACTGTTGTTGGCGACAACGGACGTATCTGATCGATCCAGCTGACTAGGTTTTAATCTTGTCAAAAAAACTACGGGGTATTGGACTATTTCTGTGAAGAATTCTCGTAGACCGCATGGCTATCGTAAAACCACCGACGGTCAAATGGACAAACGTCCATACGTCGACTTTGTGTTAGCTCGATTAACACGTAGCCACGTGTACGCATTGTGTACCTTTAGTACGCTTGCACCTAAGCTAACCTCTGGTATGCTTTGACGAGGATATCCAATAATCTTAATTGCTCAGTCCCTGAACCAGGTATTGTCGTTCACCTTTTCTGGCCTTCGTTGTTAGTCTTTCCTACAGGGAGATGTTGTCTGTCAGTGTTTTTCGAAAAGGAAAGGCTCTGCGTGTCAATAACCGGTCTAATCATCTGTACGTATGGTGTCTGCGGTATCGCTTCAGTCTGGGTGTAATGTGGATTATACCATATGTAGAAATTGTTTTGACTTCTGGCAGGAGAAAGTCACGTATTTCTGCGTCTTACACGTTTCACTGATGGGTTTGTTGTATAAGCTATCCGCCACAGGGCTTGCTTGTTCTCATATCCTGTTCTTTCTAAGGGGATTTTGAAGGGAAGGGAGGAGGGGGTGGGGGGNAAGCGGGCGGGGATCACGGTAGGAATAAGGAGCTGTTAATTTGGCAACTTGAAAAGCCCAAATCAGTAAGTTGTTAACAATACATGCATGCTCGATAATAGATATACTTGATAAAATGTAAACCAATAAAGATGGCCATATTAGTATAATATCAACACAGAGAAAATGTTGGCAAATGTTGGCGTTCTGAGTGATAATAAAAAAGAGGAGTCGAGATAAAATAGCATTTCACAGGTGATCTTTAAGTTTTAGCTTTATTGACCACTACAACTCTTCTGTGTCCGGAAACAATGTAAGTAGGCTTGAAAACTACTCCATGGCTGATCGTCTGTGGACTTTTTTTTCATTACAATCTAGTATTCTGTTGGTGATGGCGTTGGTGGTGTTTCTGTTAAGAAAACGAAGCAAATCAGAAATGACCAGAATAACTCATTAGAAAGAGAATAAAAGGAAATGCTAGCAACAACGAACGTGACTCTGGAGAAAAACTAAGATAAGAAAGAGATTGAAATTAACAAGATTTTTACTTACTAATACAATCCGGCCAAGGCATGGATAAATCCACGTTAGGATCGTGATCCCATACAAACCAATTTCCATTATGCTGGCACATATAGAACGAAGCGGGCTTGCGCTCAAATTGAAAATCTTTGTTGCACATCACGTTACAAATATGGATTCCGAAAATTCCAGAATAACCACAGGCCACGTCACCATTATTAGGCTTTTCGTACATGTCGCAAGGTAGATCTGAAGAACCTGCAGTAGTTTAATGAGGGGAAATAAAATACAGATTAAAAAAATGTATATATCAAATATATATATATATATATATATATATATATATATATATATATATATATATATACAGAAAAGTAGGAATGCGGATAAGTAATTCAATTGTAACAGCGCTTATTTCAGGGATTAAGCACCAATTTGATGTCTTCTAATTTGGTCTATGGTATGATATCCTTTAGTCAAGGATCAATGGCAGCCCGGCGTATTTTTACAGGTTTGTTTTTCAAATTTTGAACATTCCTGTTTCCCATGAAAAAAATGCTTAACTTTCTTGCAATAAATCTAAATTTAGGGGCCAGCTATGGTGTACCAATGCCCCTCTTGTCTTATTTTTATTGTCATTGTCTATTGTTTGAAGCCTACCAGATATCTGGGAAAGTCCATACGCCTAATAAATCGACCTGTTGCTAGTATATACATATCCATGTACATTGTACACATGGCAAAGAATAGTCAAGCAGATAGGAGATCCACGTTAGTAGATTCAATACCATTATATAACTTCATTACTTGTAGATAAGTTTCCAGCACTATCAAAGACTATGATGAGTCACAATAACCAATCCTTATCAGTTGATGCTTTAATCATGGTATAGAAAAACTGCCCAATCATTTGGTTAACACGTTGTTTTCATATAGCAATGAGTTACTATAGCAACAGTATGAGCTTGGTGACCCCCATTTTATATTGTTGAATTTTGATTAACAGGATAAAACGCAACTTTTAGCAAAGTTTTAAAACGTTTTGAACATGGGGTTCAGAATCGAACCACCTTAAATTTTCGAAAGTGCTGTAAACTGTACATCTAGCCAGCCAACTTGAGTCCTACAGCCGGTAGTAGGATTAAAGAATAAAAATACGAAGAAGTTATAGTTTTCCGATATACTTACGTTTCAATGTTACGCCCTCCACCTGGAATTAACGTAAGGATAAATCGTTTATTGTGTTCGTAATAAGCTTGAATCAATTTCAGTACGCATTATACAATTCGATACCATAAAGTCGAGTTCACAAATAACAGCCAAAATTGAACTTTAGCAAGCTATTTACAAGATATAAAATGCTCTTCCCACGGTATATTAGCGCTTATGAGTACACAGCAATATCGCTATAAAATATAACTTGACGCTATCCCATGGGTGGGAATGTACTTTTCTCATGGTCCCACCACAGGAATTTTGTATGCGCCAGTTGCCCAACGGTAGGCCATTGTCACCTTCTGAAAAAAAAAGTTCAAATGCCCGTCAAATGCCCGCGGAGTGTGGGTGAGGGCACATGGGTTGGCTTTGAATTGACAGAGCCATAAGAGACGTATGAATTGCATTATTTTAATCAATCGAGAAAGTGCCTCTAAAACGTCTGTGAGAAATTGTTAGAAAATTGCAGTTTACCTGAGTTAGCGCAGTAGATAAAGCGAAGACAATTCCCAGGATGATCCAAAACTTCATGATGAGCAACAGACTGCAACTTTAATGAAAAATTCATCAAAAAACACCTTTTTTTGGGCAAGATTACTTGTAGTTAATAAGGCAATTGCTGAAGCGCGTGATTGATTTCTTCAATTTTTCGCAGCGGATGCAGTTTAAATTGTGCCCAGTATGTCTTTCTTATAGTTTTTGAGACAACTACTATCTAACGAAATTACAGTTGTACTTTGATTTGTGAAACGACGTTGCTTGTCTTTGTAGTTTAGACTGGGCCCGTTTAGACTCCATTTGGGCCCAAAATATATTCACATGTACCTTAAGCAAGAAGTCAGTGCAGTTCACATGACACATTAACTGTACTCTGTAAACAATAAAGCTAATTTTAAAAGGACGAAAAGCGCTTACTTTTAAAAAACAACAACAATTGAGAAAATAATGGTTGACAATGTAGTGGCCGCCAGCTTCTTAAAGCATTTTTTCTTCGCTTTAATTCTTGGAAATATTAATGCTTTGGAAAACACTAGATAGTTACAAAATTCCGAATATTTGACGTAAAGGAAATCTTAAAATCAGGGCGAAATCAACTGCAAGTAAAATGACAGTTATTTCAAAACTTTCGCATAAAAGCTAAGAGTTTCGAAAGTTTTACACTTACCTTTTACTGATGCTGAAGGTTTGAAATTTCGAAGAACGTTACAACGACAGACACTTGTAGCAAACTGACTTGAATCAAAGAATTATCTCCATAAAATGCTTTTTTCTTCACAATTAAGCAGCACATGATCTTTCTTTTTTGTTAAGCAGCTGAAATAATCATTTTGACATTCCTGGCTTTTACAGGCTGTATGAAAAATATTTTCAAACCAAATGAAAACCCCACGCAATAATTACTTTTTTATTCATCGACTGTTTACACTAAATCAGTGATTTAACAAATAAAGAAGCTTCGACTGTGCTCTGTTCTTTTGTAAAGCACGCATGAACAAAGAATTATCTCCGTAAAATGCTTCTTTTCTTTATAAGCAGCACACGATCTTTCTCTTTTGTAAAGCAGCTGAAATAATCATTATGACATTCTGCCTGTTTTTGTACAGACTGTGTGAGAAATATTTTCAAACCAAATGAAAACCCCACGTAGTATTTACTTTTTGGTTCATTGAGATGGTTTACACTATATTTTCTTTAACAAATAAAGAAGCCTCGACTGTGTTCTGTTCTGTTGTAAAGCACGCAGGAAGCGGTAGAGCACGAAAAAAAGTGTAGGGGAAAACACGAGACGTAGTCGAGTGTTTTTCCCTACTTCTTGAGTGCTATACCGCTTCCTAAGTGCTTTACAACAGAACAGAGCACAGTCGAGGCTTCTTTATTTGCTTTATGATAATCTATTAATTTCTCCACGCCTTCGGTTGAATTTTCAAACCAAACTTTATTTTCCAAACGAATGAATGTGGCGTCCGCGTGCTCTGTTCCCTGATCAAGCACGCTGAAATAAGCCAATCGCAATCCTTGTTAGAATTGTTCGAATAATTTGATTGGCTCACGAGACGACAGCTATCAATCACAAACTGGACTTCAGCTAAGGTTTCACTTTCAAGCGGCTTTTGAGAGAGGAACGATGCCTTCAAAGTTCGCTTTTTAGTTTAATTATTTGAGAAGGATCCAAAGGTTTTTAGTCTAGAGGCTTTTCCCGTGGAAATTACGAAACAAAAAGCCCAAAGCTTGCGGATGAAAATGCAAAATGCTAAGTTGTATTTGAAAGGAGCTACAGACATTTACCGCTTACAGAGGGTGGTAAAGGGTATTTTCGTGACTCGTGATGGGCCCTTTTTTTTCCCCGTGAAATCTGAAATGGCTAATGTTTTCCTCGTGAATCGTAATTTCCATAGTCGCCGTGAACCGTGATTTTCCAAAAAGTTCTCTCTTATTTTCCGTGAAGCGTAAAATGCCAATGTTGTATTTTTCGTGAATTGTGAAAGGGCTGCTTTATTTTCCGTGAAACGTGATCTATACCCCCCCCCCCCCCCCCCCCCCNNCCCCCCCCCCCCCCCCCCCCTCTTTACCACCCTCCTTACAGTCGCTTGCAGCAAGATTGCCCGAATTAGCGTCAAAGTTCGAAAGACTGGGGAGAATATCAAAGCAAGCTTTCAACTGATCACTCGTCGGGTGCACGAAATTGTTGAGGTTCACTTCGCCGAGATGATCGGAAATCGCAGTAAGCAAACGAGCGTTATACACTGCATGTAAGTGTTGTTTAAGCATTTTTGCAAAAATAAAGCTTCTCATCATAAACAGAGACAGATATATTGGTGTTTTCTGTCGTTGTTTTACTTCTTAAGTATAATTTTTGTCGTTGTAACAAATATAATGTCTTTTATCGAAGCATTCGCTAGGTTGAGAATTTGTTTTTTTCCTTACTTGTTTTGTGGGAATCTAGCAAAACTTGTTATTTTAGTTCAGTTTTAACACAACTGTTGTCAACAATGGTCTCCGTGCAGCCATATTTAGCGCGGACAAACAGTTCGTTTCCATTGCGTTTGTCTGAGTCACAGGAGATGTTTACTTTGGGTCAAATTTGTCAAAATTCCGAAGAGAAAATTTGAAAGCCAGCTTACTGTCATCAACTCGTGCTTTGTTCTGTGATAAAGAACGCTGTTTCAGCCAATCAGAGCACGCGTTATATAGAACTTTATCATAATTTTTGTTAAATCAGCTGAAATAATCGTTATTACATTCTGTCTGGTTTTGACAGACTGTGTGAAAAAATTTTGTCGAACCAAATGAAAACCCAAGCAAAATTTACTATTTCTTGAATCGAGACTGTTGCACTAAATTTTTGTAACTGAAAGAAAAAAAAAATATGGAGAATGTACAGAACAATAACGACTGCTTCACGGCCGTAGGCAGACTAAAATTCTCACCGAGGCAATAGATGAGGAAACGAAACCTCTTGTTCTATATTGATCATTTTTTTTTTTTATAGCTTCTTTAGGGAACTTGAAACAAATAAATAGATTCATCATTTTTACCGAGGCAAATGCCTCGGTTCTCCTGTTACTATATGGCTACGGTCCTAAGCTTACTGCCACTACAAAATCGACACGTTAAATCCGCTTTCTATGTTCAAACTACTAGGAATAGCGAATTGAACAACGAGACGAAACTTGCTCTGTAAAGACTCACTGACAACTTGAGGAAGGTAGAATTCCCTAATTCAACGATCTTCGAAAGTCTGGAGAAGAATACGACCTGAGTCAATCCTCTGTTGAGTCACGTATGGTTTCCCAAAAAAGCATTTATGAAGTGCTATTATCAAAGATGAACGAAATCAATCTCTTTCAGACCGACCTCAGAGAAAATCAATTACGACACAGGAAAACTCGGCCTGAAACATAATATCATCAAATAACGGTACGTGTATACGTGGCTTCCCATTTTTGAAAACTGGGTCAACTCAGCTTTTTTGCTGAGATAAGATTAGATTTTAATACATCATTTATGCATGTTGCTGATAACTTTTGTCCTAAATAGATAGCTTTGTTTCTTGAATTTAGCTTGTTAAATATTTTTTTTCCTTTGAAAGGCGCAACAAATACACATTTCATAGAAGACCGTACAATCCAAGTATCAAATGAATTAGTGGAAAATTCGTTGCTTAGTCTTCAAACTTAAAGTGCTCATGAAACGAAGTATTTTTAAACGGAACATGATAAAGACATCTAAGTGCCGACATTTTTTTTCTTTTTTTTGAAAAAAAGGTAAAATGTGTCAGACAAGTGTAAAAAAGAAATACCAGAGTCTTAAACATGTCGCATTTTCCATAACTAAGGGGGACACATGTTCACTTTTGGGTAACTTGGTGCGAGTTCGTTTGCGTTGTGACATCAAATTGTTTTTCAGGAAGGTTGTTTACCGAACACCGAACAACGAAGAAGAAGCCATCGTTACGGTATCACCCAACCGACAGAAAAGATACACTACAAACGAACTTAACGTATTTATTTAGCGACAACTAGTGAAATCCTACTTACCAATGAGCGACTTCAGTTCTAAACAATGCAATCTATCGTAAAACTATCTTACACTAAGCCTACTACTCAGGAAAATCGGTAACAACAGATCGGACATGGCCATGTTTATCAAAGTTAATGCTTGTCATCATTGTTTTTGTCTTGTAGACGATTATTCTGATTAAAGTATTCCCAGCCAAAGAAACAATGAAGATCAGACAGTAAACGAAGGGCTTTTCAATTTTCACTGCTGCAGGATTACTGACGCAGCTCGAGTTCCATTCATTGTTGAGTTCGCGTGTTTATTGATATCCTCAAGTTAACATCGATGATAAAGATTCGTTATCTTGCGAAGATGGTTTGCAGCTTTTGCTCCAAATCAGCTGCCTTTTTATATTGAGGATATCGTAACGGATATGCTGCGGATCAGTTTTCCACTGTCGCTGTTTCACATTGTTGAATATAATTTTCGTAAGGCTGAGAAGATTCAAATATTCCAAACTTGCATATTATTTGACGCCCCAATGATTTTTCTCTTTCAATCCTTCTTTTTAATACAGTTGACTCCCGATAACTCGAACCCTCGCTAACTCGAACCCCCCGCTAACTCGAAGTAATTTTCATTTCCCTTTAGGCCATTTTCTATATAATTTTACGCTCGATAACTCGAGCTCCCGATAACTCGAGCCTTTAACCATTTCCCCTGAAGGCTCGAGTTATCTGGAGTCGACTGTAGTTGTTCTTGTTACTGTTGCATTTTTTGGAAAGGGTGGGGTGGGGGGGGGGTATGCGGCCGACTAGTAGTGAGAAGACAACAATTAATTTGCAAACTGACGTATGGCGTAATGATCATCAGTGAAGGAAGTCATCAACACTAATTTACTACTTCGTTCATCAGTCACATAATTTCTATGTGAGTTCTCTGGAGATCTTTCTTTAAGTTAACACTTCCCCTTTAACACAGCCGTGTGATGCCAACCAAACAAAGAAAAAGTTTCCTCTTGATTGACAGCCCTGTTAACGTGTATGCAATCAACCGAGACGACTTTCGACGGAATATTACCTAAACGGATACTACGAATTGGCTAATCGGTTGATCAGCATCGTTGTTCTGATGGACTATAAAGTATTTTCCGTATTAGGTGTCATTCTATTAAGCTATAAGTAAACATGGACCACAGAAAAACTCCGTGGACAAGTACGAAAAAGCGATAACAGCGAAGAACGAATGAAAATAGATCAATGAGTTAAGACGCGAAAGTTGGCCTTGCGGATGAAGTTATAGCTATCGTATCAATCGCGCAAAAAGATGGAGTCAAGAGAAAATAAAGGTTCAGTAAAAATTTGGGAACTTGACAGCGATCTGAGATATTTACATTGACTCTCCTGTTGAGTCCGATATACCGACGAATCGTCAGACTCATCTAGACCCATTGGAATATTATCCATGTACAGTTGCTCCGCCGCACTTTCTTTTGTTTGTTTTCTTCGCCCAGTCACTCTAGCGTTCGTATCCTTTTTCGTCCTCGCCATTTTGCCAGACCAGCTTCAAGAAAAACCGAGCTACGGAAAAATTCTCTCTCTGCCTTTGAGCGCATTGCGACACACAAGGGGTTTTTGGAGATTCGCGCGTAAATTTCACCACAAAAAAATTAACGGTAGTAAACTTTCCAAGCGTTGATTGGCTCAGTTATCTGAGAACCCAGTTGAACGCGTTTGTGGTCGGAGTTTCTTTGCGAAGCAAGAGATTTTTCTAAGGGCTGTTTTCTCGAGTAAATTTTTTCGCTTGAAGCAGAAACTTTAAAAAGTTGCAACTCAAAGGGAATTTGTTGGATTGCCCTCAAATTCGAACAGCAGCTAGATTAACATGTAAACCACAATAGTGTCTGGGAAATGCTTATTTCGAAATATTATTTCTCCGAGAGCAATTTTAGTACGATCACTTCACATTTTTTAAATCCTATTTCAAAAATGCTCTGTAACTTTTTACTGCAATTGAATATGGCAAATCGCAGACAAGGTTTTTTTTAGCGCTTTTGGTCCTGAAACCGACAAATCAAATAAATTGGCGAAAAGCAAAATTCCCTTTGACTTGTAGCTTTCAAAAGGTGATTAGGACGCTCGCATTTAGTGGTCGTGAAAAATTCGGCAATTTATTTTATTTCAAAATTCTTGGTATAGTTTGATAGCCAGCTCTATAAGCTTTAGTTTGATAAAGGAG